TTTTGACAGGAACTTGGATTGTGTGTGCGATGAGAAGGGTGGAGAGAGTCTGGAGTGTGTCACACACTGGCCAGCTCAGCATCCCAACCTGTTTAGCTAGATAATGGGTGAGATCCACAAAACCTGCTCAAACATTTCAGCAAATAGCCTTGATGGAAATTTCAGCTCAGAGCACTGGTCTTTGCCAGTCCCTGAGAAATAGGAGAAAAGAAACTGTAATGGGACAGAGAGAGAGAGGTGCTTGATTTATAATAGTTCCCTTTATAGTGCACATTATGATATGATGTGAAAGTGATTCTTCAGCAATTCTTTGTTCATTAGTAGCCTATTACATTTATATAATAGCTCAAACGTGCTACAAGTGAGGAAATGCATCTTCATCAGCTCAGACCTACGGATTCTATCTGTTAGTTTTGCTGTCAGTGCTAAAATATGTATATGTTTAAATATATTAGCTAAACTTTTATAAATGTATGTGGCCAATCCAGATTTACCTATTGGAAAGATGGAAAAGATAAAATGATCTGGCAAACTGGCTAATGCTAGTGTGTGGGCACTGGATATGGCCACAAAAAAAAGTTTGGACAATGAATTTGCATTTTGTGTTGAAAATTTCAAGACCTTTGAGCAGTGGTGTAAGGCTTTTCTCAGGAATCATACCTTTGTTGGTAGGTATGCACTTGAATATTTTTTATGTTGTATCTGTACTTTTTTATGGAGGCTGTAGAATAGGTAATAATTTTACTGTAAATAACATTCAGTTTTGGGCACAGATTGACAGTCTAGCTTAAAAGACTTTTGCTTGTCAGTTACTTGGTCAACTACATCTTGAATCTAAGTCAATGACAGTGAAACATTTCTCTTTTTTAAAAATGTATTTTATTTATTTATTTATTTTTTTGGCAAATGTGTGGAAATATGTTTCAGGGTCACTGTATATAGTATGTGTTTGTAAGAGTGTATTAAATAAATGACACTTTTGTTTGCAGTAGAACCACACAACTAAGAATTAAAGCATCATGATTTTAATTCAAAGACTCACACACTCTGATTCATAATTCAATCAAAACAGCTAGCCTTTGTCTATTAAAACTTACCAAGTACAGCACCGTCCCAGCAAACATGCCAATCTGATGGAGACTCAGAGAGAGAGCAGATGACATAAAAGATTCAGTACTGGGTCATTTTAAGCCTGTTAAGGATAGGCTGCACGGTGGCACAATGGGTAGCACGTTCGCCTCACAGTCTCATGCCTTCACCTCACTGGTTCGAGCCTTGGCTGGGTCAGCTGGCGTTTCTGTGTGAAGTTTTCATGTTCTCCCCCGCGTTCGCGTGGGTTTCCTCTGGGTGCTCCGGTTTCCCCCACAAGTACAAAGACATGTGCAATAGGTGAATTGGGTAAGCTAAATTGTTCGTTGTATGTGTGTATATGGACGTTTCCCAGTGATGAGTTGCAGCTGGAAGGGCATCTGCTGCGTAAAACATGTGCTTTATAAGTTGGCGAATCATTCCGCTCTGGCTACCCCAAATTAATAAAGGGACTAAGCCATAAAGAAAATGAATGAATGAATGTTAACAATATTCAAACGATCACAGAAATACTGGGGTAGCCGTTTATAATTGAGATGTTGTGATATAATAAAAAAATTAAAATAAAAATTCAATTAAAAAAGTATTAATTACATCAGTGTACTAGTAGGTGACAGAAAGTAGCTGTTAAAATGTTTTTTGTTATTGATTCATTTGTGAAAAGATTTGTTCTAAAACGCTGAAGCTAAGCCTTAGTTAAAAATAATTTGCATTAAACATTTTAATTAGACTACAATAAATATTCTGAAAAAATGTGTGCCTGTTGATTGAAGATGTAACTTTATGTGTCAAAATGTCAGCCCAGGCTAATTGGAAATGCATGCTTCAGCCTATTTTTTCAAAATGTAAAATCCCTTCCTCCAGGAGCCTTTTTTTGCACATATCTAATGACAAATCCACCAGAGGGCGCTGTCTATATGTTTGAATATCTGAAATTTGTTACTTAGGGTAAGTTTTATTATACATTTTTGATATATGTCCTACTTGTACATGTCCATGAGAAGGCAGGGCTTGTTGAACAGATTACCCAATGCAAGGGTTAGGGGTGGGGTTTGGCAACACACCCTTCACAGCAAGAAGGTCGCTGGTTTGAGCCTCGGCTGGGTCAGTTGGCATGTCTGTGTGTAATTTGCATGTTCTGCCTGTGTTGGCATGGCTTTCCTCCGGGTGCTCCGGTTTCCCCCACAACTCCAAAGACATGCACTATAGGTGAATTGGGCAAGCTAAATATTGACCGTACTGTATGTGTGTGGATGCTTCCCAGTGATGGGTTGCAGCTGGAAGGGTATCCACTGCATAAAACATGTGCTGGATAAGCTGGCGATTCATTCCACTGTGGAGACCCCGGATTAATAAAGGGACTAAGCCGAAAAGAAAATGAATATCCCAGTAATTATATGTGTGAAAAGAAAGAAAAGTTGTTGCTGTCATACCCTGTAGTGTCAATTTTACCTAGAAACTTTGAACAAATTAATGTATGTTGAAGTCCATTTTTCACAAAAAAACTGCATTTCCATTTCATTTTGGGCATTTCTAATGAGCATGTATCAAAATCATGTTTTGTAGTTTACACAGACACAAACAAATACAGTGGTCCCTCACTATAATGCAGTTCACCTTTCATGGCCTCGCAGCTTCACTGATTTTTTTAGAGCAATTTGACATGGATTTTTTATTTTATTTTTTTTACAGCATATTGTGTTCTGCGTCCTGATTGGCTGTGGACCTTGTCAATGAATCTCCTACATGTCTCCTGTACAGTACAGAATGCGTTCAGCTTGCTAAATTAACATAAATCGCTGATTGCTGGCAGTGTGAGTTCTAAAAAGGTGCAAAAGAGTTGTAACAGCAAGACCATTATCAAGGGGGTGGAAAAACCAGATGCACACAACGCCATACATTTTATAATTGTAAACATAGGTTTATTTCAGCATATGCACAACGGCGCCACAAGTTGGCGGTCATCCCAGGACACTGTTCACATTTCTGCCATGCCATCTGAATAATTTGGATCTTTGGTTATATTCTGTATTACTGGACTTTTTTTTCTACGAAAGTTTAAACATTTTAGGAGTGTTTAAACAAGAGAGAAAATGTTAATGCCTGTCTGAGAAAAGTGTATTAAGTGTGTAGTGAGAGGTTTTACAGCCTTAAAACATCTATAATAATTATGAAAAATAAACCAGACTACTTTGCTGATTTCTCCTATCGTGGGTTATTTTTAGAAATTAATATTTTCGGGAATAATCAGAAATGTTTGCAGCCGGAAGTTAACGAGAATTATTTCTATTATTTATTAAATTTCCCATTTATTGTATGTTATTAACATCTACCCCCTCCTTAACTCTAAACCCAACCGTCACAGTACTTCAAAAATATTAATTATTGTTATAAAGTGTCATAAAAAAATGCTGCTATATTAATGTGCATATCGCACTTCTGGCCGGCTGCATATCCAATCTAGACTTTACCTAACGAAGGATCACTGTAGTCGCATGCCTGCTTTTGAGTAATGCTCCTGGCCATTAGATTGCCCCCTGGGGGCTGGCTAAGTCATAAAGTGCGCCTCCTCCATCTTAATGAACGAGATTTGAGCCCAAATAAAAAAATTAATTACACTTGCAATAAATTGTCCCGAAAGATGGTTTTGGTCAACTAAGGCACTGGTTATCATGCTGATATAGGTGCAGATCTTCATTTTTTTTTAAACAGTATGTTTTTAGCCAGTAATTGAATACTATAAAAACGGGTCTCTGGCCCTCTGGCTCCATCTGGTAGTCCCTTCCGCGCATGCCCAGGCTCCAATTTCAGCAGTCTTTTGCGACATTTTTTGCCCGTCATGAGGCGTTTTGCCTTCAAAGCGTTCAATGGGAAAAGGCGCTATTGCGTCGTCCATATTTTTTACAGCCATTGGCTCAAGCTTGGTGAACTCTGACCTGCCAAATCGCATCATGTGATGGCATGAGACCAATAGATGATCAAAATGTGACCAATCTGTACAGAAATTTAAAATATTTTATCAACGTCTAATCATATTGTTTGTCCTACCTCTTTTCACAGAGATGTACGACTTAAATGGCTTAAATGAACAGCCAAATTGGATAAAAAGCATGCGCAGGTATTTGACAACCAAAACCAATTTTTTTTGGTTGTCATAGCCATCAAGTGTCCTGGCATGCAGAATGCTGTATTTTATTGATCTTTGTGAATGAAAAACCGCAAAACATTTAAAAAAATGCAAGTCAAAAAAAAAAAAAAGAAATCTGCTTTTAAGTTGATCATTGTCATGCAAATGTACATTTAATACAGCAGAGGCGTGACTGATTATTTGTTCAGCTAAATGATGAGCGCAGCTTCACGACACTGTGCTGCACACAGTAAACACCACAGTCATCGCTGCATGCCCATTCCCAGCATTTGTTCAGGATTAAACCCTTAAGGAAAGACAAGATCACACAGACCTCCGTTCTCATCATCCATTTCCAGCTCTGTTTGTGCTGTGTGGTGTCTTTGTATTTACTGGGCTGAAACCAGCGTGAAGGCAAACAAGGTCTCTCCCTTTGGCAAAGTTAGCAGGACCGCTTTCAAAAAAGATGCGAAGGCTAAAAACCAAAAGGAAAAAAAAAGAAGCTTGTCATTTGAACTTGGGTCAAACCGCAGAGACAAATTAGCCAAATTTAATTCGTCTGCCTCGATGCTGTGTGAATTATTCAGCGCTAAAACATTTCTGTTTGGAATTTCTTCATTTAAAACTCACAAAAAGATCATGTTTATTCATAAACAAGAAAGTTAAGCCTCAAATGGATTCCCTGTGTTGAAATGTTTGCATTTATATCACCGATCAGAAAGATTCAGAAGGATTCTGCAGAGCTTTAAACTTTAATAATGATGAAATGCAAAGCAACATCATATCATCAAAATGTTTTATTTAACGTTCCGTTGAAGTAAACAAGGTTCCTGATGTAAAAACTGAACATTAAAAGAAAATTAGAGAATAAATGAGATATTATGCATTCCTTCATTGGATAAACATCCAGTCTCTACAATAAAAAAAAGAATATAACTTAACAATAAAAAACAGACTATTATTACTCGTTTCTTTTTACAGTCTTTAATCATTTCAAAGGTTCTAAAATGTGCACAAAATAACTTTGTCTGTCAGCGTCCTTTTGAACACAGTTAGTGAAACTCGGGTAACTTTCTCATCTCTTTGTTCACCGTAAAGGCCAAAAGACATTCACATGTGATTCAAGAGGGAAAACAAAGGGAAAGGAGATTTCAAAAGCAGATCAGATCATACATTTCCCCATTTTTAATAGAAAATTTACCAAATAAAATGTGCTACAGTGCTCTGCTGAGCAGAAAAGCAGGGGCATAGTGCTAACTGATATTAAAAATGGGATTGGGTGCAGTCAGATAAGTGCATACTGCTTTTTCAATAAGTCTCTTTGGCCTTTCCTTTAAACAGACATACTTGCTTATTACGACACTCAAAATTGCTCTTTTAATTCTGTAAATGGAGTAAAACTCGACTCTACTGTAAATAACACTGCATCCAACATAGTTTCTTTCCATTCCTTCAACACAACCAAAGGCAAAAACCGCAAAACAAACAAAATGAGATTGCTCACTGAATCTGAGATGTGGTAATACTGCTATACTTTTTATCTTTGTGTGTGTGTGTGCGCGCGTGTGTGTGTGCGCGTGTGTGCGTGCGTGCGTGGGTGCATGTGTGTGTGTGTGTGTGTGTGTGTTTTAAAATGGAAGTATCTTTTGTACTTTTTGTAAACAACAATTCGAGAGTAATTCTGTCCAGCTGAGAGGGAAAAAAGGGGGATAAAACATGACTGGCTAAATTATTTTCTGCTTCCACTGAAGTACGTTGTTCTGAAAAAAGATGGCAACACGTTGGCTTTTAAGCAATAATACCAACTTCATAAATATCCCTTTGGGTCCCAGTCCTCGTCTCAAAACAGATACAGGAAAAAAAAACAAAAAACCTTGAAGTCTGTTTCTATCTTTCTCACTGTGTCTGAGAAACGTGGGCAAACGAGAGGAAGCAGAGTTTGAACTTATCTCTCAGCTCACGGCTATTGTTGGCAGGTGACAGTTGAAGTTTTCAAATTTTGGAGACAAAACACTGTTGTAGTCACAGCCAGAGGAGATATCAAGACAAAACATGCACAAATGGCCTTATGTGGACGATGATGATTGGATCTGAAGGTCATCGGCGGTGAGAGAAGAGTGTGTATTATACACGCGTATACACACACACACACTCCTTTGTCATTTCATCCAACTGTACATTCTCATTCATCTCTCCTTCGAGACGCATCAAGGCACTTTGGTGCGATACAATACAAATTTCTGATTAATATCAAAATAAGTTAACATTGCAAAAGTGTCTCGTTCAGAAATACTGCTGTTTCGTCAACACTTATCCAAAAGGAGAAAAAGAAATGCACACATTGGTGAACTAAACAAGTGCTGCATTTCAGGGCACTTCATTGTACTTATAATAACAAACCAGTACCACAAAGTAATGTAGAATATTCCAAAAGTAGAGGAGCGGGGTCTTCTGTCACTGTGTGTGCGCGCATTAGTATTTGTGGAGGAGAGGCACTTTAACAGTCTTGATCTCGGCTATATGTGAGGATTTCTGGATGATGCAGCTGGTGGTGGTGCCAGCGGTGGCCGTGCCTTTAGGCTGAGCCAGGTTAGTGAGAGCCATGGCAGCGTTGATCTCCCTCCAGTACGTCTCATCTTTCCTCTGTCCCTTCTCCTTCTGCAGACTCCTGTTGACATATCAAACGCCTGTTACTTAAACAAACTGACAGCTTTTTACAAGCTAAACATTTAAGCATACTTAACTGCACTAATGAGAAAGTGTGAGCTTAGAGTTTCTTAAGTGACCCCACCCCACAATTGTCTATATCACACAGTTTCAAGATGAGCAATTTCTGCTTTTAAATTTTGAGTTCATACTGTAGGACTTTTTAGTTAACATGATGTGCCATTTTAATTTTTCCTCAATTTTTCAAAGTTATCCGGAAATTCTGACTTTGTCTACAGATATCACAAAATGTTATTATTGGCTACAATCATCAAGTAAACCAAACTTTCATTTTGTGTATGTTACACCAATTAAAGTTAAAAGTAACACTTGACTGAGGTAATTGATGTGTATGCTAGTTCCAGTCATACGCACCTGTCACATTTATTTGATCCATGCTCCACAGTCTCTGTAAACACAAACACAGAACAAAGCCAGTGTCAATAACAAAACACACAGAGGCAAAGGAAGACAGTAAGTAAACATTCAGAGTTCTTGTTTATGTGTAGATCTGCGCTACTTTTGAGAATGGAGGAAGACGCTTCACTAACTGAGACTGCAGAAGCTTGTTTCCGTTTACTCCATTGAGAATAGTGGAATCATCCCAGATGCTTGGCACAGTGCTATTTGTTAAATACAGAGGTCAGCAACACACTTAAGGCTAATTACTTAATGGTAATCACCAGTTCCTCTACCACACACACACACGCACAGTCACACACACAAGTACTGAAAGATTATACTATATGTGTCTAATCAAAAATCATATTAAGATGTGGATTTAGAGGGTAGTTAAATTACCCCACACATTTGGAGTTTCACTTTTAAAGGGGTGGTAAATAGAAAAACACAGACATTCTGGATTTAGACACCAATAAAATAACAGAATAACCTCTGTAAATGTTAAAAATAATTTGTGTCCCAATGAGAAGCAGTTACCATCTAAATAATGTTTAAGCAATTTATCTTTGTTTATAATGTCTTTGAATCTTGTATTTAGATGTCAGCATTTTATGTGGAAGTATTTTTCCTGAAAAAAACTCAAACGTTTCTGACAGGCTAAAAAAAAAAAAATTGATTGACAACGATTGGCACCAATCTGTCTGACACCAATTTGATGGATGATGAAAGGATCTTATTTTGTTCAAGAAATGTTTTGGAATGATACATTTCAAAAACGTATTAATACATGAGATTGTATCTTAAACAAGAAATTAAAAATTCTTAGTAATCTGACATATATTTTCAAAGTTACAAGTAATTTAATGATCTAAGCAGAAAGCATGGCGCAAAAGCATTAAGGGCATGTCCGAATCCCATTTTGCTATTGTAAGGATTGAAAAATACACTCTGCACCCCTGCGCATGGTCTAACAGGGTTGTGCTTATTCTCTTAATGAGTTATAGGAGTATTTTAAGCATAACGTGCATTAAACCAATCAGAGTCTCATCTCCCATTCCTATTAGAAGTCATTTGCGTCATGCCATTGCGCATTTGCTATTTACATGGCGGAATTTGTACGTGGAAAACTAACGCTTCACTAGAGAGAAAACAGACCATCTGCAGCATGAGGATAAAGAATAAGCCTTCTCCATTCGGCCTCCACACATTTTATTCTTATGCCCAATATGGTGATGCATACATCTCCAAAACCTGACAGGTGGACTAAACTTGTTCTTAATAAAACAAATATAAATATGCATATAATTAATAATACTGCTAATAATATTAACATTGTACAAATGCAAATTGTCATGAATAAACAACAACAACAAAAAAGCCCCCCAGTAATGGCATGGGGTTAGTTTTTTATATTTCCGTAGAAAATTATATATATATTTTGTAAAATTTTAATCCTTAATTTTTTTCGTATGTAAAGATATTTGTGTATTGCTGTACATCATGTGTGTATTAAGCAATGTGTAATCGTTTGGACCCACAGAGGAGCATAACTAACGCGCTCTTATTACGCTAGATGTATGATAGGGTCCATAATCAATAAAATCTTTGTTAACGAACCGTTATGTATTTTTAAAAAGTGTTTACAAATACTCTAATCACTGCTAGTTGATCTGCAGTTGCTAATATAGCTGTGGTAAAAAAAAAGCAGTCAAAAAAACAATTTTGCATAAATTCTGAGATGCAAACGAAATGTATCACTATTCTCGCTTGAATCGATTCTGAGCTTAGTTCTTAACAGCAGATGGCACAGTATGCTTTGCATCCAGTTCCTCACAAATACAAAAAATCTTTACACTTGAATTTTTACACTTGAATCTAAAAGAATTAGTAATAAAGATAAGAAACCTTAAAGCAAATAACAAAATTATTTATTGTGAGCTTTGTTTGTTTATTTTATTCATGACATACAAGCTAATATACACGACTCAGCCGTATGCACTTGCTAGTGAACATTTGAGTGTACCAAGTTAAAAACTAGCCTAAATCACAATCTGCTGTTAAAAAGCTCAGAATTGATTTAAAAACAATAGAGATGTATTTTGAAAATCTCTAAATTGATGCAGAATTGATTTCTCTATTCCATTGATTTCTTTATTCTATGTTTTTTTCACTACAGCTTTAGTTGAAAAGTCCCTTTAGTCAACAGAATGTCTAAATGGAGACCAAAATAAAAATAGATGCCAAAATAAAAATATTAATGAAGTACTTTATACCTCTGTACACTTCCTTTCTCTGAATATTCACACCTTGCACTGCAATACTGTAAAATGATTGCGCAGAGATATCTGATATTACACCAGGCCGATCTCTTACTGGACATGACAGTTATGGTTTAACATGTCTCACACTTTCATCTAGGATGAATTTTACAGACGTTGAATCATTCTCTAAATCCAGATCCATGATGTCGTTTGTCCAGCGAGTTAAACCTCATGACTTTACTCCGGATGTCTCGGCTCTCTCCCCGGAGGCAGCGTTTTGCATGCGTTCACCTCATCCTATCCTAAACCTTGCACTCACACACAGCCCTTGGATCCAGAACGGACACTGGAGCGCTGCCCGGACACCTGCAGGGCCAAACAGCACCTAATCATCCCCAACGGCTCGTCTGAGCCTGTGCTAAACTTGTTTTTCCTTAAAAACCATTCACATGTGCGCTGAATGGCAACTGGGTGTTGAGGAAAGGCCAGCAGTGGGCCAGTAGCGCCTGAGGCTAATTGAGAAATATCCTGTTGTGCTCTGTGTGTTCTGTAATAGTTTTACACGGCTGAGAACGAGCGTGTTAGTCAGAATAACTCGATACTCACAGATGTGTTTGGGGCCCAATTAAATGAACCGGAGTGTGGGATTGCAAAACAAGTAGTTCATGTGAAGATGGAGTGATTAGAGAGCCTCCACTGGGAAATCTGGCCTTAATTCGTACAGTCTGAGTTAGATTTTTCTCAATATCTGCCTAAGTGATCCCATAATGTTCCTGTCACGATTTGTAATGTCTTTCCCTTTCTTTCACTGTACTTTTGGGTTAATGGATTAACTCTACTGGCTATGAGAGTTTTATTGTATTTAATCTTGACCGAGCAGGTGCTGTTGCAGGGTTATATACAGGAATATGCTGCTGTGAGCATGTGAGATGTGCTGCTGCGGTTGCATGAATGGGCGCCAATAATTATGTAGCAGATCAGGTGAAGTGGCAGGAGGAAGAGGCTTTCAGATAAGCCTGTGTTGCTGGACCATTCATAGCAAACACTGTACCAACTAGTCTTGCATTATATACTGGTACTAAAAAAGCATTGCAATATTCTGCTGTTGAAAACAGTTTTATTTCTTATTTAATAAGTAGCCTCGGTAAGCAACTGCAATTCTTGTGCTGACTGACCCAAAACTGAAGCATGTTAACAGAAAGTGCCTCAAAGATAGAATGTGATTGCCAATTTCACTTTCATTACTGCCTTGTTGCAATAAAACACACAAAATTAAGTCCAAATGGACATCTTGATGAATATCCTTGCAAATACAGTTGGAAAGCCTTTTGAATGTAAACACTTTAAATACATTCAACTAGGGCTTGACATTCACACCTGCCAAACTGCCAATGCTGGTAGATTTCAGCTGTGATGGGTTAGACAGCCACTCCCACTAGCCGGTTGAAAATAATTTTTAAACTGCCAGTGCTGGCTCGTCACTAAAAATGACAATTTTAGATCATTGATGTTTGTAAATATCTGTGCAAATGTGATCTAAGAATTGAGAAGCAGCACGACTAACAAAAAAACTGTTCACACAAACAAAAGAAAACAGGTGAATACAGAATGAGAGAATGATCAGGTGCATAGTGAGACACAGGCGTGCTTCACTCATTGATGAGAGCTTAAGTGTGCTCCCGTTTCCTTGTGCAAAGCAACTGTGCCTAGAAACGCAACTGGTGCGATTGATTCTCTTTGAGATAGACATGGAAAAAAACATTGCTCGAGCAAGCAGCAATGTAAGCAGCAGTGGCCACTTTTGCTTTAACCATTGTTTGAAGCGATTATTAAGATAAGATTTGTAAAGTCATAAAGTTCCCTATAACTCAAAACAGCAACCACTAGTCTCTCTTCAAATGTCTCTGTAGTCGTCTTGACAACACAAACACTGCTGTCACCTCAACGGAAACTCCACCTCACCTCATTTGATTAGATAATAAAAAAGATGCGACTGATGTAGTGGGAATTTTTCAAGACTTTTTTTAACTGTAAGTGCACTGCACACAATGACAAAAACGTGAGGTACAGCAGGCGGGTAAAATACGAGGCGCAAATCATTAAAAAGAAAGAGGCTTCTCTCAATGCAAAAAGCGCATTCGGTGTAATCGGACCCTATCTCTCCATATTGGGACCTTTAGCCTGGACAGACTACTGTGCATAGTTTTAGATACATGAAAACTTTTTTTAAAATGTCAATAGTTTTTTTAAGGACATTTTTGTTGGATGAAAAGTGTACTGTAAACAGCTATATTTAGCTTGTTTTCATACATTATTAAAAATTTGTAGCAAGGAAATAATTAGTTTGGTTGTGGCCAGAGAAAAATTTGGTAAATCCTTGGTGTTAAGCCCTGAAAAGTCATGTGAAATAAAACTAATTTCACTGCAACACTAAAACCACAGACCATTTGCTCATGAACATTGAGCAAGGTCATACACAACACGCACAACAAATTAAAAGAACAAGGAGAGATGTGGACATAACACAAAATATAAATCAAGTCATTTTAGCATGCCAAATTGAAATATATTTTCCCAACAGCACAATTATGGCTTGTGAAAATGGCGAGTGGCTAGTAACATTGGAAAACTACCAGTAAGCACAGTGGTTGTTGATCAAAACAGTTAATGTCAAGCCCTGCATTCAACCATTCAGATAGTGTCATTATTGCGGGTCTGCACAGCTCTTAAAGTGACTATCGTATTG